CCGCATTTCCCACAATTCAATTGTCCGACATGAGCGAGATGGAGGAATCAGAAAAACCCGTTGGCCCGCTGGATGGACAGAGTATAAAAAAAACAAAGACGGGACAATAAAAAAACATGTTGTGGTTTGCTAACACTGCAAGAAGGACTTTTAATTTCACCGAAGCACCTCAAGCCTTAAATATTATCTTAATGCCAAGCATTCATTTGCTGGGGCTTCAACTTTAGGTGTTACAACTGGCATGCATCAGACCACCCTCACCGAACGCAGGGCATTAAGTAACGGTCGGCTTTACATTCAGAAAATGTTAACCAGTTAGTTTGCCTTAACAATTGGCTAAAAGATGAATAAATAACAGGTAAAATGACCTCATGTAATTGTTTAAAAGTGAAGTTGGTTGTTTTAAATTAAAAACATTCCATTAAACCATCCTGTAGTTGCTAAAAAAAAAAAAGCAATGGCTAAGTTGCCAAAATTGTTGAGAATTAAATTCTTTTTTCGTATTCGTCATTAATAAAAACTAAATGTAATACCATTTTGTTTATCCTTCTGTTTTGAAAAGAGTACACAGAAAATTTGTATTTTTCAATAATATTTAGGCTAGTGATTAATCGAAATTAATTCAAGAAATCTTGTGATTTATTAGATTAAAAATTTTAATCGTTTGACAGCCCTACAAATTACATATATTGCTTTCAAAGACTAGCTTTAATTTTAATTATTTCCTCTCCAAGTCGAACTTCACAACAAAATTCAAGCTGTAAAACCTGCTTGTAAAATAATCTTGTTTTACAAAAAATCAATAAATATAACTAACTAAATGTTTGCATCTATTGGTATCACACAGTAAGCTCCGTTATCAGTTATATGTAAACATTTAAGAACATATGGTAATGAACTGATGTCAGTCTGAGCTATGAAAGTCCAAGGAGGGGATTGGTGGGAAAAAAAATAAAAATCCAGATTTTTCAAAAATGAAATCTTGACAGACGAACTTTTATTTATTATACAAAAAATAAAAATTGATGAATCGCCCAGCCTTAACTTACATAGGTGGAGATGCAATGATCCTATATCTGGATCGGATATCGGCTCCAGTGTTGACTTTACTAGCTGGATCCAATCCAGTGCACTTTACATGGAACTGTTATTTCTTTATTTTTGTTGCTTATTTGTTAGAAAATAACATTAAGTAAATGTATGTCTGTATTAATTTGTTAATAGTGATTCTGCCAGCCCTCAACTGGAATGGCAAGATATGTGATTCATTGTCATTGTGATTCACCCCCAACGGTTGAAATGGGCTGGTATCAGCGGATACACTTATCGTAGGTATCGTATTGGATTTAAAAAAACTGGATCATTACAGCTCTAATGTGAAATAATGCCACATAACTGTAGTTTTAATCGCATCGCAATGCTAAGAATTACAGAATATTGTTCTAAAACTGAAAAAATGAAATTCAAACTTGTGAAAAAGGTGGCCCTATTCCTGCAAAGTGAATTAAAAATGATGACACTGCCTGCTGGAAATAACATGAGTCACACCAGTTAAATCAGTTTCTTATATCACAACTCGATAAGTAAAAGCTGAAGAAGAAGTCAAGTCTGCATACAAGCATTTAATAAGTCACTGTCTAAGGCCTGGAGAAGCTCATCCCAAAGAAAACACTTCTCTGTTTGTATCTTTTTTCTACAGATTTTTGCAACACAATGTGAATGTGGTCTTTTTACGGATTTCATGTTTACACCAAAGACTGCTCTCTGACCATTTTTAATACGTTTTGCAAATCTAATTATGTTAATCTATAACAAACAAGTTTTTTAAGGGTAAAACTTTTTATTCCTTATGTGTGTTTTTTTTTAAATGAAATAATTTCTGTCATTTTTAAAGTATTGTTTCTTTTATGCATTTTTTCCACATATATGTGCACATATATGAATGATGCATATGCATACAATGCAAGTGACTGAGGGCCTTGCAGGCTTATAGCTGTAATCCAGGTGCCAGTCAAAGTAAAATATTGAGGCCATGAATTCGCACCTCACCCCCTCTGACTGAATCCTGCATAGGTTCTACCCATATCTAAAAACTCACAGGGAAGCAGTAAAGTTATCTGTAAGGCATGGGAAAAATGTCCTTTAAGCAATCGTTGCCTGGCAATCTTAGAGGAAGTTGTGGAACTACCTTAATTATGCATCGGTCTGCAGAGCTTGCTGGGTCAGGGATAAAATGTGACTCAGGACTCTAGAGCCGATGAACAGATTCCCTTAGGAGGAGGGGTGAGAGTGTGACTCAGTGATACAGGTTCACTTGGGACTGTGGCATGAAATTTATGAGCTACTATATTTGGTTTTGATGCAGAGAAACGGCAATATCAAACAGCCTTTTTGGTGTGCTTGCCATTACAGCGTGGAAATGGTGTTTGGAATGCTGTGAAAATCCAGTTTAGCAGCATTTGAGCTTGATTTGACAATTTTACAACATGCAGTTGTTAAAGATGGTATCTGTTCTTATCGCCGGTGCATCAGTCTCAAATTCTGTATTGCAGATGTAAATAATCAGCTACCAAAAACTTTAGCTTGGGGCTGTTGATATTAGAGGAAGCTTGAGCGTATTTTGAGAAATCTTATTTGATGTTTTCTTCTTTTAATAACCAGTATGTCCAAATTACACGGCCTACAAAATAAAAAAATAAAAAAAGGCTTGCAAGTGCTACCAACTGACAGGTATTTTACCACAGGCACAACTAATGTGCAACTCGATTAATAATCGGACAGCGAAAAGCTCTTGGGAAGATTTTTTGAGAATCTGAACCAGATGCTAAAAATAAATGCAACTTAGAAGTATTGGATTGAGTATGAATCAATTAATGAGGATTATTTCAATTAATTGATACAAACCTACATTTTAAAACACTTGCTAAATAAATTAGTCTGATTAATTTCAGTTTATCTAATACTGAAATATTCTTCAACTAATTTATTAATAAAAAAAAAAATCATTTCTAGTAGAGTACAGACTTTAAAATGCAATTGGTGAAAATCCACCCACTCAGAAGTGTAATAAAGCCAAAACAGGTACAGGAAATATTGATATTTTGCATTGAAGATGAAAAATATGAACTGGTTAATATGTTCCTTCCATAACTCCTTAGATAACATTTCTAAACATTGTTTTTTTTATACATACATTTTTGACATTTATGATGCATTTATTTTCTTTTTGTGTAATTTAGGTTCCAACATTTACTTATTGAGGTATGTTAATATGCAAAAAATTTCTATTTCTTTAAATAAATAAAATAAAAAATCTCTACTGCCCTATTACTGACATCAAGATAAAATTAACGGTTAACTGCATGGGTAAAAACTGCAAGTAGTTGTTGTTAATAGTGTGTAATAATAATTCCAATATAAACCTAAATCCAATATGGCTGCCAAATGTTGTTGGCTTAGGAAATAAATGCATGAATTTTGCTCTTTTATTTAATGTCCTGAAAAATCTATCACAGCACATTCTTTATATGATGATTATTTAGGATTTAAAAGCATTAAATACAAAAGAGACTTTTACTGCAAAGAGTAAAATTTTCCCTTTTGATAGTATCACAAAGACTCGCTAAGGCATCCATACAAGACCTTAGACCTTGCTTAATTAGGTCAGGCCTTCGAATATTGCACATATCAGGTTGTTTGGTAGGATTGGATGTCATTAAACGTCTTTAAGCCTTAATTACAAATGTTTGGAATTGCACAATAAAAAAAAGAATATGGGATATAACAATTAAGTTTCCTTTAGAAACTAATACAAAAAGAAAGCCATTTGTTTAAACTTACTGTTGTCTGTAAATACCTTAACAGTAAAACTATCACATTCAACATGTCAGTCTGGCTGAATAATGAAAAAGTCAGTTTAAACTGGCATTTAATCTGTCAAATAAAAAACAACAAAATCATCAAAGATATTTCAAAGCTGCATTTTTTTTTTTTTACAACGTTTTTATAAAATGATCTTTAAAAAATAAGGCATTATTTAGGATCAAATGTGTAAACTGAAACTGAGGGAAATAAATAGTCCCAAGAATTTCAGGTTTGTTTGTTTTGTTTTTTTATACAGCAAGAGTCTTAATTTATAACTTACATCAGCTACATTAAATTGGAATAAGACACGAATAAGATAATTTATTACAAAATCTTTTGAGCTGCCAAAGTTAAGGAACTAATCCGCAATCTAGAAACCACTGCGTGTTTAGAGGAAAGTACTTGTATTTGGAGTATACATATAGGTATATTTGTACTTTCTGCTGGTTTTGTTAATGTTTCATGGAAACAAGCAGTACAAACCAATGAGGCCTGAGCTGCTGTGGAATCTATCTTCAAGCAATAACACAAGGAAAGAGACACAACAAAGTGACACACAGGCTGGATGTACTGAATCATCTGACAACTAATATATATATACATGAACAACTGTCTTATTACAGAGTAAATAATGTATTACGGCTGAACAGATCCTCTGGAAGCTTGGATGCTTCTTATGCGGCTCTTAGCATATTAAACACTTCACTTAAGCTATTTTATCTTAGCTTTATCGCGCTAGTACCCTCCTCGGTGAGCAGTCTACAAACCCACCTGTTTTTCGTCCTCGTACTCCACCTGGGTGTCCGAGTCGAGGTTTTCCGACGACATTGTCTGAGTGCGGTGGGCCAGCAGCTAGCCTCTTTGCCACACAACACAATAGCTTGAACAAACCAGGAGACGTTTGACAATCCTGCACCTAATCCTGATTTTCTAAACACGACAGCTCCCCAACAAAGATGGCGTAACGAGATGCGACGTCATTACATGAGGCAAGGGATGTTTACAGTTGACAAGTACTTTAGCCAATAGGGCATCAGCACGAGCAGTACTTAGCCAATCAGATATAGCCATTCAGGTTGAGATATGTGATTGACAGCCAACAACCCAATGGGATTTCGATATCGTCGGCCGCGGCAATGCGGGGGCCGCGTGACACTGCATCAACGCAAAGTAGATAAGAAGAAAAAAACGGTTTTCAGTTTGGTTTAACATATACAATTGAACATATATGTTAAACTTAATTTAAATGTAATTTTTGGCCCATAAAAAATTATATTCCTAGCACAGCAAGCTGTTTGTGCTGTTGTGCTGTTATTCCTGCTCTGTGATTGGCTGCTTACGGCAACCCCTTTACGTCTTTAATTTTAACGTTTGCGGTTGATTAAACTTCTGATTGTGAGGGACTGCCGAAGGTAATAGTTAAACGTAACGGTTTATTGCTTTCATTTGAATTTAATGAATTTCTCTATTTTTTTTTTATAGTTTTAGCTTTATTATTTTGGAGGCGATCCTCAAAAAACATAAAAAGTTGAAATAACTGAATAAAATTAGCTAGCTAACATAATGACCAGCCATTTTTTGTCACTTCAATATATTCTCTGAGATTTCTTTCTTTATCTTTGCAGATTTGTATTTTGTGTTTTATAACATTTCTCAATCAATGGCCAGTGTTCAGCGAGTAAGACCTTCGCAGGTAATTTTATTTAGATTGTTGTTTTTTATCACCTATGGATTATAAATTTTCTCATTACAGTTGGGTTGGATTGAACTATATTAAAGAGGACAATCACTCAACACAATTTATCTTTGTACAGTGATGAAAGTAAGTATTTGAACAGCCTGCTATTTTGCAACTTCTCCCACTTAGAAATCATGGAGTGGTCTGAAATTCTCATGGTAGGTTCATGTCTACTTTGAGAGACATAATCTAGAAATAAATTTTAAAAACTCCAGAAATCAAGATATAGGATTTTTTTGTAGCTATTTATTTGTATGATACAGCTGTAAATAAGAATTTGAACACCTGTCGATCAAATAGAATTCTGACACTCAAGACCTGTTATTCTGACTTCAAAATGTCCACCTCCACTCCATTATCCTCAATCAGATGCACCTGTTTGAGGTCATTAGCTGTATAAAGACACCTGTCCACCCCATACAATCAGCAAGAATCCAACTTTGATTTCTAAATGGGAGAACCTGCAAAATAGCAGCATACTTATTTTCCTCACTGTATATCTCTTGTTTTAGATTAAAAAAAAAAACAACAACTAAATGTTAGAACTGTAACTATACAGTCATATGTTTACATCACTTTTGTTCATCAGAATGTTTTTATCGCTGCTGCTTACCTTATCATGGCTTATCATGCACTTTAAAAAATGAAATAGTCCAGAGAGCTGAACTTAACGAATTGTCTTTTTGTTTACACTTGTGTATGCAAAATGACAAAATAAAATCCGTCTAAGTTTCAAAGTAAATGTCTCTGTCATTAAATCAACAATATATAATATGGATAATGATCAATATTCGTGGTATGTTTCAGAAGAAATCTTTCAAACAAACTAAAATGAGTTACAATTTTATATTTGCTTCTTGTATTTTCTATATGGCTATATATCAAGTATACCTTTATTGACTCCAATCCTCTTTGGCAATTTTCTATTATATATTTTACCTATGTAATAAAAATGTCACTATATTTTAAACTTTAAGAGTAATCATACTATCATCAGTTGTAGTTGACCAAAAAGTAGTGATCATGATTTTTACTAATGTTCAACAACCCTTCAGTGTGTTTTGTATTTTACCAAACAAATAGAAAAATTGGAGCATTTATTTTAAATGTTTAAAATTCTGACTGCATAGTGTTGCAGTTTATATTGTTGCCTTGTAACAGGAAGGTCTTTGGTTTGAATCCATGTGATTTAGAACGTATAAACTCCATGTCTTTTGTCTTGTTTACTCCGGGTTGTCCCTCGCACAGTCTAGAAACATGCCTAATAGGTTGTTAGTAGGGATGCACAATATAATCGCCCCCCTATCGGTATCGGCCTGTATCGGCCTTAAAACTGAATATCGGACATCGGCCACCCCACCGATATTTAACCCGATATTTGATCAGCTTCTGAGTTTCTAAAGTCTAAAAAAAAACTTCTTTTTTTACAGACTTAAAAACTTCTAAAGACGAGGGAAAAAATATTTATAAATTAAAATATCATAATATCTTCATATGCTGATATATTGCCATTTAAAAACACCAAATCAATCTCTTTTACTAATGAAATATTGCTATATGTCATCGTTATGCTGCAAAATCCCCCGAAAATTCACGAAATGTTTCCATATTTTTATATGTTGATACATTGACGCGGTATCGATCTATTTTACTAACAAAATCTCACAAGAATTTGCAAAATATCAGGAGAGTTTGTAACAGAACGATGCAATTTCACGAGATTTTGAAAGTAAAATAGATCAATACCGCGTTTTTAAAAATCTATTTGATATCTACGACGGAGTATTAGGGCCACACATGAAGAGAAAAAATATTTTTGCCATGACGAGATTAAACTCGACATGTCGACATTAAAGTCGCCCTGTCGACTTTAAACTCGCCATTTCGAGAATAAAGTTGAAATGACTGACATGTTCTCAAATTCAGAACTGCGAGCCTGGGTAAGCATAGGGAAAGATGTTACGTTATTATTGGTAGGCCACCGCTTCCTGTGATGATTATATAGTTGCAGCACGTCAAAGACTACCTTCACTCTTAAAACGCAGACTGCAGCTGTGGAGCGCGGTTGCTCTTTTCTCCAAACTTTGGAATGTCGAGATTAAAGTCGCCACGATATATCAACTTTATTCTCGAAATGGCGAGTTTAAAGTCGACAGGGCGAGTTTAAAGTCGACACGTCGAGATTAAACTCAACATGACATTTCAACTTTATTCTCGAAATGTTGAGTTTAATGTCGACGTGTCGACTTTAAAGTCGACATGTCGAGTTTAATCTCGTCATGTCAAAAATATTTTTTCTCTTCATGTGTGGCCCTAATACTCCGTCGTAGATATCAGCATATGAAAATATATTTGACTGTATTATTTTTCAAAGTGTCAGAAGTGGATAACAAAACTGCTATTTTCAATGACTACTTATTTTTGTCCAGCTTTAACATCGGTATCGATATCGATTATCGGCTACATGAGTTTTAAAATATCGGCATATCGGATATCGGGCAAAATCCCAATATCGTGCATCCCTAGTTGTTAGGTGGCTTTGAATTGTCCTGAGGTGTGTGTACATGGTTGTATGTCTCAGTGATAGACATGCTACCTGTACAGGGTGTACCCTGCTTTCAACCCAACAATGGAAAAGTCACACCCCTCCCCATGATTCTGGTAGACAAGCAATAGAAGATTGATGTATGATGGATTTTTAAAAATGTTTGCAGCTTCTCTGTATCTCTGTCTCTTCATTACTGAAGGTTGATTCAGCCTCCTTTACTTTTCTTTTTATTGCTTCCCCAGAATAGGCAGCATTTATGATATTGCAAAGAAAAGAACTGGTAATCTACAGCTATTTGAAAATCTGATCAAAACTATTTATTGTAAATAGAACTGAAATAATTATTTGGATGAATCGTGATCAATTGATTATTTAAATAACTAACTAAATAACTACTAACTTAGTAATCAATTCATTGTTAACTGGATTATTGAGAGTGTAAAACAGGCCTTTAGCTGACAGAGCAACCCAGTAAGTGCAGTTATTAAACCAAGAATGTAAAAAATACATGAACATTTTGCATCTAAGATAGAAAATAAATGTCTGTCAATATGCTCTATCCAGAACTCCTAAAGTGGAAAAGTCTGAGCTTCACCTGTATTAATTTCGTAAAAAGTCTTCTTTAAAGAATTGGCTACCTGATTTTTAATCCATGAAATGAAAAAATTAATCAACAGATTAATCGATTGCAAAATACAACTATTGCCCTATGTGTAAACTAATATACAATTTTATCAGCTGGCATCTAAAATCTTAAAACACTTAACTTTACATGGGTTTGTTTTCACACCTTCTTTGTTGACTGTTTTCCCCTGTTTTAGTAATATTATTTCATCAAGCCCTTTCTAACATTCTACAATATAAAATGAGCAATAAAAGCCTGCATGATTCATGCTGGTATTGTATTGGGTCAATCTCGTATCGGACCATTCTCAAAGCATTTATATTAGTATCCTATCTTAAAGCTACAGTGTGTAATAATTACAGGGATATACAGTCAGAAATGTAATATATTATACATAACTATGTTATTTTATCATCATCTACGAGCTCAGCCTCTTAACCTTAATATTTGCGTTGCCTTAGAATTCGTTATTTATAATTACATAGGAGCGGGTCTCGCAGCCATGGAGGCAGACATCTTTGCGCTACGGCAGGCAGAGCCAACAAACTAGCGATTGCGAGATCGCCAAAATGTCACAACGATGTAGAAAAAATAACGGGTATATTTATTATCTTAAGTCTACATGAAATCTATACCCTACACAGACTAATGAAATACTATCTGTAAAATGATCTATGTAAACAAACCTCATCACTTGAGAAGGTAGGTGATGTGGACGTCGTGGAAGACATTTTGTCCCGTAACGCTCGCCGTACTGTTGGGGGGGAGAAGCGGTGGGGGGGAGATGTTCATGTTGCTGCAGTCTGACCGCTAGATGTCGCTAAAAGTTACACATTGTAGCTTTAATGAAACTGTTGTATCGGGGCACTCCCAGTCAGTGCCCTCCATACTGCTGAAGAAAAGTCATGCAACTGCAGCACCTACTGTGCCATCCCATGAAGAAAAAAGTTAGACTGTGTGGGGGCATGAAAGAAAGATTAAGAGATTTTAAAAACCATTATTTTGAAAAATGACTGTAGAGTTATGATTATTGTTTAAAGCTCCAGCAAAACTACAAAAGTTACTGCATTTATTCAGGAAGGTTTTATCTTAAAAAAAACTTTTGTTTTTAAAACCCCTGATTCAAAGCAAAAACAATACATGTTGAATTGTAATATATATATATATATATATATATATATATATATGTGTGTGTGTGTGTGTGTGTGTATGTATGTGTATATATATATATATATATATATGTGTGTGTGTATGTTTTTACCTCATTCCTCTTAATAAAATGTGGAGCACAAAATGCTTTAATAACATCGAAAATTTAATCCTTTCCACCTCTAAAACATTTCGAGACAAGAGGAAGTAAATATAAATGTTAATGAAGATTCTGACTGGAATATTAATTGATCCAGATAAAGTATCAGATTGAGTTGTGCTGCTTGGGAGGAATTTAGCTTTATGTGGAGTTTTAGAAAGAAAGAAAGAAAGAAAGAAAGAAAGAAAGAAAGAAAGAAAGAAAGAAAGAAAGAAAGAAAGAAAGAAAGAAAGAAAGAAAGAAAGAAAGAAAGAAAGAAAGAAAGAAAGAAAGAAAGAAAGAAAGAAAGAAAGAAAGAAAGAAAGAAAGAAAGAAAGAAAGAAAGAAAGAAAGAAAGAAAGAAAGAAAGAAAGAAAGAAAGAAAGAAAGAAAGAAAGAAAGAAAGAAAGAAAGAAAGAAAGAAAGAAAGAAAGAAAGAAAGAAAGAAAGAAAGAAAGAAAGAAAGAAAGAAAGAAAGAAAGAAAGAAAGAAAGAAAGAAAGAAAGAAAGAAAGAAAGAAAGAAAGAAAGAAAGAAAGAAAGAAAGAAAGAAAGAAAGAAAGAAAGAAAGAAAGAAAGAAAGAAAGAAAGAAAGAAAGAAAGAAAGAAAGAAAGAAAGAAAGAAAGAAAGAAAGAAAGAAAGAAAGAAAGAAAGAAAGAAAGAAAGAAAGAAAGAAAGAAAGAAAGAAAGAAAGAAAGAAAGAAAGAAAGAAAGAAAGAAAGAAAGAAAGAAAGAAAGAAAGAAGACCTTTAGATCCAGTCAGCCAGCTTTTGGTCAAATGCTGAAATTATGCACAGAAAGAAAGGGGGAAAAACTCTGAATGTTAGGATTCCTGTCTGTGTGGTTTGTGTTTTGTGTTTGTCTCCCTTCCTCCACCATGCGGCACCTGGTTCTGATTCGCCTCCTCACACACCTGTGGAGGGTTGCCTCGTTAACTGAGTGCTCTTAAGCTATTAACTGCCACTACCTCGACGCCAGAGTGTTTGCCAGTTTTGGGAAGTCATCCTGCAACTGGATGTTTTGGACCTTCTCTCCCCTGGAAGGATCTAATGAGAATCAAGCTGAGCTGACCCCAGGCTCACACCGACTCCGGTCTTACCGTTGCGGTGCGGTGGGTGCGGCGCCGCAGTGATTCCAAGTCATTAAAAAGACGTAAACCTTTCTCACCGGCTGCTGAGCTGTCCGGCTGCGGTTACCGAGACACTCCGGCGCTGCAGAAAATTCCGCAAGAAAGCTATCCTTGCGGCGTGCCGGAGCCCTCCGCAACAAACTCTTGCAAATATCCTTATTTTGGCCGTGTTATCGCGTGAAGTTACGTGAACTCAGGTGAACTTCTGTTAAATCTCCGGACCTGTTGCCGGAGCCGCAGAGCCGCACCGCACCGTAGTCAAAAGGGCGGTGTGAGAGGGGGTGTGCGGGAGTTGCGGTCTCCGTCGGCTCGGTAACCGCACCGGAGCCAGTGTGAGCAAGGGGTAAGGATTCAAGGTTGTGGTTCTGATCAACCCTTTCCCCCCCAAGGATCGTTTGGGGCTTCTCTCTGAGCAGGGGATTCATCTCCACAACATCCCGTTCAAGTACCGCAGGAAACCTAAGTGGCAGTCAGCTTCTCCGTTCGTTTTCAAACAACCGCATTCTGGGTAAACCCTGTCTGCCCTCCATCGAATGACACAAACACTGGAACACCCCCACTCCGACTGGAGTCAAAAGAGTCAACCATTTTCTGGAAATGTGAGTCTGCAACCTATTTCTCTACTACAAGTTCGAGAATAAAATTTCCCACTGAGCCTGAACTAACCGCAGTGTCTTCCCCTCACTTTCAAGATCCGGCTGAACAACATTCAGAGCTACACTGTATTCGTCACAAACTTCTCAATAAACCTGTTAAACTTTCCCCTGGTCTCCCTGTATTGGTTTTCTGCATGTTGGTCAGAGCCTTAGATAAAATCATGACACTGAATATTTAAGTTTAGAAGTTTAATTTAAAAAAAATCTTATTTTGAAAATATTAACCGTGCACAACTAAAACTTCTTAAACTCTAAAGCCTATTTGTTCCACTCCTGCAGGCTATCCAGCTGCTGCCTAATGAGGTTGTCTCTGAGCAACAGTCAGTTGCTGCTGTAAAGAAGCTTCTAGCCATCGCTGTTTCCAGCATCACATACCTCAGGGGGATATTCCCAGGCAGAGCCTATGGGACCAAATATCTTGACGGTAAGAACACATAGTGTTCTGAGACGATTGATCGGATCAATTTTGATTAATCAGTTATTAGAATAATTTTCAACAGTTTTTTTTATTAAAATCAAATCATTACCTTGAGTAATGGTGCAGAGTCTAAAACAGGCCATTTGCTGAAAGAATGGTCTTCTTAAAGGAATAGTACACCCAAAACATGATTAGCCTTCATTTTCTACTCACCCCCATGCTGAACAACACTCTGGAGTACTTTTTTGATATCTCAAATGCATCTGGAGATCTGGGAGGCTTCTTGCTGTCTGCTGACATTCAAATAATGGAGGTCTATGGCGCCCGAGACAGAAAGGTCCATAAAAGTCCATAAAAACGTGTCAATATTCCTCCATACTGCTCGTCCAATGTAATCCAAGTGTCCTGAGTGGGTAGCGTCCATAATTTACTCGAAACGAAGTCATTTAGAACGTTTTAGAGCCTAAACAGTAGTGTATAGGATTTCCTAATAGCGCCCCCATGCGCGCTCACGATTCTACGGAAGCCGGCAGACCAAACCAGCGCATTCAGCTCGGCAAAGAACTCATGCTCTTCCTCAACACTGAAGTCCTCAGACATTTTTCTTTCGTTGTTTCTTTCTTTGCACAGGTAAACAGCACATTTCTTCTTCTACGCTTGCATTATCGGCAGAGCAGACGCTGAATGCGCACTCTCTTCCGGTTTGGTCTGCCGGCTTCCGTAGAATCGTGAGCGCGCATGGGGGCGCTATTAGGAAATCCTATACACTACTGTTTAGGCTCTAAAAACATTCTAAATGACTTCGTTTCGAGTAAATTCTGGATGCTACCCACTCAGGACACTTGGATTACATTGGACGAGCAGTATGGAGGAATATTGACACGTTTTTGTGGACTTTTGTGGACCTTTCTGTCTCGGGCGCCATAGACCTCCATTATTTGAATGTCAGCAGACAGCAAGAAGCCTCCCAGATCTCCAGATGCATTTGAGATATCAAAAAAGTACTCCAGAGTGTTGTTCAGCATGGGGGTGAGTAGAAAATGAAGGCTAATCATGTTTTGGGTGTACTATTCCTTTAAATAAGCAATTAAGAAAACGCTTCAGACAAAAGGTATAAACATTTATAAACATAGAATATATACAATTTAAGATTAAAATTTTTATTTATGCTTTTATATAATTAAGTGTGTGAATGTGCATTTTTTACATATTTAGATTTTTGCAATTAATTTAAAGTATTCTGTAAAAGGTTTTTTTATATAGTCTCAATTTTGTTTGATTATGTAGAAGCATGAATTCATTAAAATAATGTAAATTAACTAGTTAATTGAAAAACATATTCAATACATTAATGGATTTCTATAATCAAAAATGTTCTTCCCTCTACTGTTGCCCTCTTTTTAATTTCAGATCAGAAAGTGATGATCCTGAAAGAGGACCACAACTGTCCAGGAACTTCTCACATACTCAAGTGGTAAACTGCACTGACTCCACTCAGATGCACCGATTAACTAAATGTACCGGTACCTAACTGTGAGCATGTTAAAAGAGAGGGTTTGAGTGACAATACACTTCATTGTTGCACTTTTAAGAGATTATATTTCATATATTTCTGGTGCTACTTTAAAATAGAGCCAATGACTCAGATATTCAACCGTTTTAAATTTTTTGTAAATAAATAGTGTTTCATTCTTCCAGGATGGCGGGTTGTTTTGATGCCATCGAGAAGAAATATGTAAGTCTTGTTTCAGCTTTGAACCCACAGAGAGATCATTTGATTTAGTAATTATTAGGGCTGGGTAAAAAAATTGATTTAATCGATTTTGAATCGATTCCTTTACATTTTTGCAAAATCGATGTCTAGGTAATAAGATAGATTCATTTTATAGTGACCCACGTGACGTTCACATTCAAATAAGCAGGAAAGATGCACTCAAGATTACTTCAAGCCAGACAGCTGCCCAATACCCTATAGGTGACTAAAGACATTAACAAATGGGGGCTGACCAGAAAACACCCTGTAGTTATTACAGACAACACTGCAAATATGGTTTGTGCATTGAAGATATTGCAGCTCATGCATGTCTGCTGTGCCACATCTGCTTGCTCGAGTGAGGCTTCTCTTTTTCACTTTTCACAAACAAGTTTGCACTTATGAGACAGTTTTGTTCATATCTCATGTTTAAACTGTCTGATTTACAAGTTTGCACTTTGTATTTAATCTGACAGGAAAAAATAAAAAACATGAGTATTTTGAAACACAGTTGAACCACTTTCATTATTGTAAAAACAGATTGAATCGAAATTAATCGATTTAGAACTGTATGAATCAAAATCGAATCGATTCAGGACTTTGATGAAAATACCCAGCCCTAGAAATTATGGATGATGTAGAATAAATTATTCTTTTTCAACATAGTATGTCTTCCTTATTAAGCTAATGTGATCAAATTTGTCCTGGTTTATGTTCTTATTCAGCTGAGGGTCGTCATAATGTCTGTAAGTATTAGTAACCATCTCTACAGATTTGAGAAAATAAGTATCAAACTGCAACGCCAATCCAAGTGTCACTGTATTATTTCTTCTCTATTGAAAAAAATTATTTGGGCTTTTAAAAATTATGTATATTCTAATCCATGTATTTTTTTTATTTTTTATTTTTTGTAGCTCTTTACTGACCCAAGCAACCCCCAGGTACTGGTCTAAGTGCGACTGTTCATCATTATTTTGTATTTTTTGTAACCTATAACCTTTTTCCTATAGAGAGTGACTGAGTGTTACAAGTTTAGGATCCAATACGCCCCTGAAGGAACAAATGTGGATTTTGAAAGGTATTTTTATGTCTGAACGTTTGGCTACTCTGATAGTAAAGGAGTGCACACATTTTACCTCACAGAAAGTTTGTGTGTGTTTGTCTGCCTGTGTACACGATAATTTGAAAAGTTATGAATGGATTTTTTATCAGAGCTGTGCCTCATGCCAAAGAGCAATCCCAAAACATTTTGACAATGATCCAGATCATAATCACATTCTGGATTTTAAAGGATTCAGGGAGATGGTGATGTAGGGAGGAAACAAGCAGTTCCCACCTAAACCAGAGGGTGGCAGCAATGACTATTGACATTCTCAGCATCAGACTTCAAAAATCATGATCCAGACCTGCAAGTTTTAGCTATAGGTGTAGGTAACAATATGAGGCCATATTTGCTGCTTGGCAGAGGTCTGGTCTGAGTGCTTTTCTAGTTTAAATCTGTTTTCAATTTTAATGTGATATCAGTAATATGACCTTTAATGCAGTTCCATCCCCCAAAACATGATGTTGGTTAACTTCAAGTCATGGTAAGATGAGAATAAATCATAGCCTTGAAATACACAGGTTGAGGTCCTCACAGGCATAATAAAAACTTAATCAAACACTTCAACGGCTTCAAGTTTTAATAAATTTTTAACAAAGCTGCATTTTAGGGCTGCAACTAACAATTGTTTTGCAAATTAATTAATCTGTCAATTAGTTTTATGATTAATCATTTAATAATCTGAAAGCCAAACATTCTTTAAATAAGTTTTTTTTTAAATAAAATTAAAGCAGGTGAAACACAAACTTTCACTTAAGGGGTTCTAGATAGAGCATATTGACAGCTGAATTTTTTTATGTTTTTACAATTTTGATATAATTACTGCTCTAAGTGGGTTGCTCTTTCAGCTAAGGACATGATTCAGAGTCTCCAGTTAACAATGAATCGATTACTAAATTAGTTGACGATTACTTCAATAATCGATTAATCATGATTAATCCGATTAATTGTTTCATCCCTTCTGCATTTACAATATTGAACCAACTACTTGACAGGCGGTTGAAGTGATGAATTTATTAACTTTAACAATTGGTCCAGGCTCTCTCTGTGTTCTTCCTCCTCATTAGTAAAACCAATGAGAAGTTTTCCATGATGTCTGTGGGAACTACCAAAAAAGCAAGCATCTTACTGGTGAGGAAACTGTACACGCTGATGCAGAACCTGGGTCCTCTGCCAGAAAACGTCTGCCTCAACATGAAGCTGGCCTACTATGACGATGGTGAGAGAAAATCTTCCAGTTCAGTTTGATAAGACTCTAATTCAGCTGTTCTAAGCTGGTGAAGTTTTAGGGTGTTTGTTGCCTAGATGTTAATGTTTTGATTTTGTACTTGTTGGTTTCAGTGTTGATCTAATCAGAGTGGTGTTTTACTCCAGATTAATGTTGGACGATTAGATGAATCCATCGACAATTGACTCAGCCCTTCAACGATCGTGTTTTAAGCAATTTCATTGTTTCTTTTCTTGATCTATGGGCTAAGACATGGCCTACAACAACAACAAAAAAACAAACAAAGAACAAATTCAGCAGCAGTTTATCTACTTAAACTTGACACAAAAAAGAACTGATCCAAACCATAGACAAGCAGTTTTTTTTTTTTTTCAAACAGCCCAACCGAACCAGAGAGTTTTTCTCTCTGTGTTCACTCCATACGCTCCGTCCTTTACGGATTTGAATTTGTCACAACAAATACAAAATTAAACAAAAACATAAATAAAAAGGGAAAATTCATGAAATGAACATTTCCAATTGTGAATTTTCGCTTTCCATAAAAAAAAAATCTTCTCCCCAATTTTCTGTCTCTTCAATTGTTCACATTTAGATATACAAATGAAAAATTTATGTTTCATAACATGACAACTGGAAAAGAGTAAACCATTCCCACTGGACAAAACCCATAAACTTTTGACAAGAAAACAAGCATGTTTACCTTATTGGGTTTCAGTTGTGGTTGTTAACAATATTACCAGTGGTGCAGAAGACGTGCTTTGAAGCTATGCTTGTCTTTGCCCACAAAGTCACTTGCCTTAATATATCATACATTGCCATTTGTTGGACTGATAAATATAGGTTGGAACTTTTTACATATCACCCAACCTTACTACAGATAGCAGAGTCTGAATTTTCTGTAGTGTTGCGCCAATGCCATTTTTTGGCCCCGATACCTGGCTTTGCAGTATTGGCCGATACCGATACCATACGTATACCATCTGTTTTAAATTAATGTGTATGTGTATATATGAAGAACTGCATACTACTTGGATGTAAAACAATTGCCATCATGGCTTTGTCAAGCTGCTGCCTACCTTTGTGAAGCAGGAAAAACACTAATACAAAGTGAATCTAGAAGAAATTTTTATTGCCTACCTGGAATGGGTGACAACAGTGGAAGAAACTTTTGGCTCTCAAAATGGTATCGGTGCCCTATTTGTTGGTACTCGCCAATACCAATGCCACCATTTTAGTGCTGGATTGAGGCCCCGCCCGATACTGGTATCGATGCAACACTGATTTTCACTCCCAGATACAGCATCAGTTTTGTCTGTCTTCTTACTGAAAATACTGAAAATGTTCTTTTTATTCTGAAATAAAGGAGCCACAGGTCACCGACAATGTGAACCTTCCTAATCATTTCCCCTCTTGTCACAGTTTCCCATTATTGATTTGTGGTGCAGAGAATAATGTTTCTATATGGAGTATACCTTTAATGAACAATGCTTCTCTCCTTGCTAGAAGACAGACAAGTAGACAAGGGGAGTAGTTAGTTGATTGCAATCTACAAATATTGCACTAGATGGCACTAGATCCTTTAATCCAAGAGAATCAGTATTAGATCATTTAACATCAGGCTTTGAGCAGTGTTAAAGATTATATTAGAGTGTTAAAACCTTTTTTGTTTCATTGTCCTTGAATAACTAACCTGTATTTACGAGTTATTTTGTTATTTTTCCTTCGTAAAGTCACTCCTCAGGACTACCAACCTCCAGGTTTCCAAGAGGCTGAAGAAACCACACTAGTGTTTGAGCAGGAACCGGTCACACTGACCTTTGGCAAAGTTGAAACCCCCTACCACTGTTTGAAGTTTGACATGGCCACAGAGAAACACAGACTGGAACAGGTGAAGCAATTGATAGTAAACTAGCTTTGTAAAAAATACTTATTTTAGCATTGTTGTTTTTTTTTATTTGTCATGCAAACTGATTCCTCCAAGTGTTTTTCTATCTGCAGGTTAAAGAGGGTGTTTCTGTGAATAAAAAATGGATTCTGGAGATTGAAGACCCAATCAACCTTACACAGGTTCGTCCAACAGTGACATCTTTAAAAACGATAACAAAATTAGGCAGAGGGGCCTTGGGATTCCTGTGAGGACTCGAACTTCCATGGAGTCAGAGTCCTTCCTCTCTGCCTTAGTTTGCTTATTGAGAAAACAGACATGGAGTCTGTTAGTTCAGTTAGTTGTTTAAAAGTTGAAATCTTGCAAAAATGGCAATCCACTGTTTTATTACTGTATGTTTGTTAACTGCTTGTGACTTCACTGTTCAATGTGTTTTAATCTTTAGAGTCCTGATCTCAAGCTAGTGGAGGAGTCTGAGAACTTCACTACAGACATGGATAACACAGGTAATAGTACAAAGTGACATCTATTTAAAAACGCTTAAAATTAGAAGTTAAGTTATTCAAAAAAGATTTAAGATCCAGCAATGGAAAATAAATGAAAGGTTCACTTACTCATTGGTGGTCTCAACTGGTCTTAATTTAATGATGGTTAAAGAACTTAATGAGCCATTGTAATTTGGAAGGCTGACTGTTCACACAGTGTAAACAATTTTAAAACATTCTTCAATTAATAATCCAGCAATGGGTGGTGAAATATTATTATTATACTTTGGCACCTAAATATAGTGTGATTAAGGAACAGGGAAACATTTGAGGGATAAAAAACTCCTTTAAAATATATTTGATGTTTCTGAGCTAATTTGAATGAAAAAATAATGCATCCTTTTCTTGCATTAACTTAAGCAAATTCAGTTACTTTAACACAATTGTTTCATGTCCTACGCTGCTAACATGAAATAATAGTACTTAAGTAGATGCAAAAAAACAATGCATCAGTTTTCTTCAGTGTGGAAAGACAGGAGCATTCTACACATCACCTTTAACTTCTAAAAACGGAATTAAGATAACATGGAATCTCTCTGATACTGTATCATAATATTGGTGGTTATGATGTCACATTTTCCTGTTTTGCACCTAGACTGTACTAGTGGCAGCATGAATGCATGGAGTGTAAACAATATTAGGCTTGTAATATAGTATTACAATAGGGCTTTTTAGTTGTGCTGCTGCATTCAATGAGTTTTGCAGAAGCTCCTGTACAGGTGAAAGAAAAACCATGGAGATGAGTTTGAAGTTGATTACCATGTTTTTGTAATGGAATTACGTAGCTGCTAATCAGATTAATGATTATATAGTATGCAGTCATTAAATTAATAATCACATAAAAGGAATAGAGATCTCTTTGGACACAATTTACTTTTATCGGAAATTTGATTTGGTGAAAAGACCATCAAGGGCCATGCATCAAGGGATACCAAACCATTTTTGTTGATGATACTTTTATGTCACATGTTCAGGCAAACCTGGATAAAACTTATGAGTCAAAACTTACGATTTTATTTTTAAAAAACTAACCTTGTTATAGAAATGGGCTGTTTTGATCAGGGCATATAAAAATTAGGTAAATCAAAGGTTTTTACCCCCAAGTCTATTTTTGACCTTCCATAAAAAAAGAGCCCAAATAATAATAATAAGTAAACAACTCAAATAAGGCAGTTTGTCAAATATTTAACATTTTCCTGAATCACTGATCCTATAAATGTTATTTACCACCTTATTGGGTAAAGTACCTGCAATTCCATTTGTACAGGGATGATTTTGTTAGAGCCTATACATTGAACACAACATACCTTTGTTATCCTGTATAATGATACCGGTTATTTAGCAGGGGTTGTAATAATGACAGCAGTTAAAAGTTGAAAAAAAAAAAAGGAAAATGTTTATCTTAAGTTAAAACAGTAACTTGTATTTTTTTTCAACTGTAGAGATCCAATTGTGCATTGATAAGGAGGAAGAAGAAGAGAAGGAAAGTGGTGAGGATGTCCCCGAGGTATGTTTGTTCCTCCTGACCGAGACTTCATCCACATGTGATGTATGTTGCATCACATGAAATTCAATGCTAATTGTTTCCTATTTAGTGCAAATCAGTAAAAAAAAACAAAAAAACAACACAATATTAATAATAATAATAATAATAATAATACATTTTATTTATAAAGGCGCCTTTCTGGACACTCAAGGTCACCGTACAAAAGCATAAAAAAGTGTCAGAAAAATAAAAATAATAATATTTATATATTATATTAGACAAAAGACATCACTGAAAAGGATCTTAAAGCAGCTGTGTCTTTAATGTGGATGTTGGACCCCAATCCCCTAGTGGGTCCAGGAAGTACTAAGGGGGATCAGGAAATTTTTCTGTTACCTAAGAGACCTGGAACATCAATAATGTCGCTTAAAGGGGAATTTCGTTTTTTTTTACATTCGGCCCTTGATTTTACGTTATTACATCATGTTCTACTCACCTATATAAGTTTTGTGTCATTTGGAGCTGTTCTGCAGATATTCCGTTAGGTTATATCCAGGTAACGTCTTCCTATGGGCAACGACTTGAAGGCACAAACTAAACTGTTCATAATTTATTCTTTATGGCACACCAGCATTCATAACATGTAGGTGAATCACTGTCCCCCAGACATCCGCGGTTATATTTTTTATATTTATATGTTTTAAAAACAAAGCGGAGTGTGTATGACATCATCCGCCTGCCGGTCTGGAGTTTTTGTTTTTTCTTTTTCAAAAAAAACAACTTTATTTAACCATGTACATTACACCAGGCGCCTACGCTCTACCTCTTATATTTAGACATCTTCCAGGCATGTGAGTAAAACTAGCAGCAGTTCAGCGGACAGGATGAATGAACGGTAGCCGGCGCACACGGGGGTGACGTCATACAAACGCTGCTTTGTTGTTAAAAAATAGAAATATAAAAAATATAACCGTGGATGTTTGGGGGACAGTGATTCGCCTACATGTTATGAATGCTGGCGTACCATAAAGAATAAAATTATGAACAGTTCAGTTTGTGTCTTCAACTCTTTGCCCATAGGAAGACGTTACCTGGATATAACCTAACCGAATATTTTCAGAACGGCTCCAAATAACACAAAACATATGGGTGAGTAGAACATGATGTAATAAGGTAAAATCAAGGGCCAAATGTAAAAAAAGCTGTTCCCCTTTACACTAAAAAAATCATAAACTTATTTTATGGGCCTCTTTTACACAAGCACCAAAAATCTTAACACATGAGAACTATGGAGTTATTTTAATTTCAATGTATGTATTCATTCAGAAATTGGTACTAAAACATGTTTGGCTTATCAGGTTAAATCTTTGTCCTTAGCATCTCAGCCCCCGACTCAGGGGCACAGGTCCACAGTGGTCAGTAATCTACTTAAAACAAGTGAATATTCAGGTTTCTGTTACTCTTTACCAGCTAGTAAGTGGGTTGAAACATTCAGGGAATTCTCAGGGTTAGAAACCTTCCAGGTAACACTGGACATTAACAGGAACAAACTGCTTAAGTGACATGTTGAAGGTTGACACATCACAGGGATTTTCACGGAAACTTTTTGGAAATAATAATTTTTCTTCAAATTGCATGTGTAGTTATCATCGATGTTTCTTAATCACATACAAAAAGTAAGCTGCCTTTTGCAGTGGTTCAAAGGCCGACCTCTACATGTAATCTGCATTCCTCACATGATGACTTCTAGAGGCCTGGAGTATTGAGGGTTTGTTAATGTGTACAAGGCTACTGGCTACTTACTATGTTAGCACTTCTGGATAAACATTTTAGAGAATCTTAAGTTCTGACCACAACGAATCCAATTATGTGCACAGAAAATCTTGTTGGATGACGTAGCGTTTAGCGCTCATTAAGAGTCAATTGGGATGATCACAGCCGACACTTTTTCTGTAGCTCTGACTATGACAGACCCCAGGTCTATTTTAGCCGGACTATGCATCAGTTCAATTGCAATTCCATGGGTCTGACAGGAAGAGAGAAGTGGTTACAAAGTAAAACACATCCACTTTGGGGGAAACTACGAAATAAAATCTGTCAATCGAACGTGAAAACAGTTTTGGAGTTGCACAGCACATATATAGCATGTGGGACTGACTAGTGCAAAAACAGTCAATGACACATTAAAAAATGAACACCTTACCCATGATAGGAGTTCAGGAGGAGACAAAACGGATAAAGTAGTGATCTTATTTGAGCCTTGCAACAAAAAAAACCAAGGGACAGAAAGCTCAGTTTATCACTTTCCTTGAGAAAAAATTAACTTCAACAAACTTCAGGAGGACAGAAAAAAGGTATAGTAAATAGTGATCTTCTATGAAAAAATAAATAAATAAGGGACAGAGAGTGTAGGTAAGGACAGCTTATCACTCTCCCCTGTTTATGACTAAATAAAAAATAAAACAAAAACTTTTCCTTTTGTTTAAACGTAGTTCCCATTATGTTTTTTAATATTGGCCAATAACAATCCTCTATCTGTTCCGGTTTAAGAGATGATACACAGACTCATGAAGTGGGGCTTTGCTTTATAGCTGCACCGGCTGTTTTTTATTTTTTATTTATTTTTAATAACTTTTTATAATATCCCTGTCAAATTCAATTTGTGTGGGACAGAGACAGGATTGAGAAAAACTCTGCATATATCTTCTCATCCTACCTAGTCGGAGCCTCTTTATACGCAGTCAGTATGACGTGAAAAAAAACACAAATCGAAGATTAAAACAACCGGTGTGACCCGGCCTTTATTGGAGTAGCTACATCAGATGTGTTTTTGTTTTTCTGCTGCCTCTTTTGAAATATTTTCTTAGTAATTTGTTTGAAAAAAAATGTTCTCAAATGCAACAGTTTTACTCTGGTTTAGAGGTATTTGACACATCCATCCATCCATTTTCTGACAGGCTTTATCCCAAGCTGGGTTGCAAGGGGTGCCTTGACACAAAGGAAGTGTCTTTTATGGGTATATATACTCAACATGACTTTATGTTAAATAAAAAAAATTATTATTCGTTAAAAAACTGTCATGATGTTACAAAGTTCAGACCCAAATGCAGATAACCGAACAGAGAGACCAGGGAAAAGGTTTCAAAGGTTTTATTGAAGAAGTTAAACAGAGGGAGAAGTGTTGCTCTGAACACTGCTCAACCAGAACTGTAAAGTGAGGGGAAGACACAGCGGTTAGTTCAGGCTCAGTGGGGAATTTGATTTGTGAACTTGGAGAAGAGGATTTGGTTGCCGACTCACGTTTCCAGAGAAGTTGTTGAATCTTTGACTCCTGTCTGTGTGCCGTGGTTCCAGTGTTTGTCTGATTCGGTGGAGGGCGGAACAGGGTTTACCCAGAATGCGGTAGAAAGTTGATGAACGGAGAAACTGACTGCCACTCAGATATCCTGCGTTACTTGAACGGGTCGTAGTGGAGAATTATCCCTTTCTCAGTGAGAAGCTCAAATCATCTCTTGGGGAAAGAGGATCCAAACCTCTTGTTTGAACCCCAGCTCAGTTTGAAGCTCAGTTGATCCTTCCAGGGAGTGAAGGTCCGAGAAATCCAGTTTGCAGGATGACTTCCTGCCGAGAGGCAAAGACAAAAACAAAGTTAAACTCAGGTTGACAAAAAGCTCAGCTTGGCTAGAGTACCCTAAACTGGCAAACACTCTGGCGTCAACGTAGTGGCAGTCAGCAGCTTAAGAACACTCCGTTTAACGAGGAAACCATCAGCAGGTGTGTGAGGAGGCGGACCAGAACCAGGCGCCTCCTGGTGGATGAAGGGAGACAAATACAGAAACACAAAAACAGGAGTCCTGACAAAAACAAACAACTTAGTGAGGTTTAGAGATGTAAAAATATTTATTGAGTTAAATTGTACTGCTGTTTGTGTATAATAACAGATCTACTATACATTTTTGGAAATTATATGGATAGTTTTAGTTAACCCGCACTCACAGCTCATATATCTTATTCCTATCTCAGTTTTCCTATTGAAAGTTCATGAAATACACAAATTACCGAGTTGTGTACAATCAGTCCTTCGAACAACCCTTATTCTGAGTTGAACAGCACTGCAGCTTGTTCTTTAACGCTTCACAGATGGATCTTTGACCTTCCTTAATGGTCTCTCTGGATCCTACTTAGATCCTCCCCTAAACTCTCTTTAGCAAACTCATTATTCCTATAGGACTACGGTTTATAGACTGAGGCGGCCATGAAAAACAGCTGCTTTTGTATCTTCAGAACCATTTTTGTTTTGATTTGGCAGAATATGTTGGACTATTATCATCGTTCAATATTAGTGTCCATTCTTAGTTTTTTCAAATTAAAGATCCTGAAGAGCTCATGATGCTTAGTACTTTAACGCAGCCTGCTGCAACGTGGATCTTCCATTGTGCCTCACAGTAGGAATGAATGGTTTTCCGTATATTCATCTGTTCTCCTCCTGAGATCCGTTCCCTTTGTGATGTGTCACCTCACATTTGCACCTTGAATCTGTGAAATATCAACATTTCTAAGCACTGTTTAGCTTTTCAAAGTCTTTATATATATTAAATTATGTTTATCATAAATGTTAATGTTGGCTCAAGGATTTGTAATGAGAATGATTATTTTATTTCCCACAGAATCAATGTACTTAAATGAATGATTAAATTTTTTCTAATTTCCTTTGTCTGATATGATGCTTTAGTAGCAACAGATGATGGATGTTTTTAAAAATGTTAGCATCTGTGTGGGCAGGAGACAAACGTTACCATGAAAAGGAAGCAGTCGACCAGAATCAAGGAGAAGATGGTGAGAGCAAAAATCATTTAACATTGATTTTATGAAGAAGCAAATAATTTACTGTGATTATGAAGTCTAGAAAGTAGCTAACACCGAGCCCTCTGCTGTTTTCAGGTTTCCCAGTACGACCTCGTCAGCAGCCAGGAGCCATCTGCCCCTGGAACCATTAAGAAGCGCAGGTTCAGCGAGCCTAAAAGTGACTATTGATCTCAGTGCAAATAAGGCACTTTGTTAAATTAAAGTCTTGTTGTTGTTTTTTTTCATTTCCATAACAACTTGTAGAGTTCGTTTTTAAGACGATCAACACCAGTTTGTTTATGAACATGGTTTGGAATAATTTTATAGTTAAGACTTTAAGGCAGTTAAGTATGAATTGTTTTATGCTGTTTAATGGTCCTATGGGCTTATTTGTGTTGCATTTATGATTCTGTAATACTTAAGAACAAACCTGGGCAGCAAAAACTTCTTGGTGAATTTCTGATTACTCATTAAAGCTGAATGTCTGTAAAATGAACGGCAAATGTTAATAAAACACGTTTCAACACTGTTCCAAGTTTTATTTTATGCCAAACAAATAATATATAGGGAAACTGAAGTAAAAAATCTAAGAGTCTGTGAACACAAAAGCCTTATATCTAAAATATTGTCCACAAATCTGTTTTAATCTGTATTAGAGATGACTTCCCTTTTGCCAGGATAAATTTTCCACCTTTACAGGTGTGACATATCCAGATCCTCGTCCATCAGCTTGTTACAAAGGTGTGCCTTCAGCAGGCCATAATAAACGACTACTTTAAAATATGCTTCTTCAATCACACAATATGCCACAGTTTTTAAAATGAAGTGTAAATGGCATGTTGACTGTGGGAATGTCCATCAGAGTGGCCCATGAATTGAATGTTAATCTCTCTAACAAGCTTTCTCCAACGGCGTTGTTTGTTTTTACTCTTGTTACACATCCACCCAGCCTCACAACTTTAGATCATATGAGGCCCAGGGCCCAAATATTCAGCTTCTTCCCTCTAAGATTATCTGAGGCCAGCCTCCCAGACAGATGCTTCAACAATTACTTCGGATGACCAAAACATTCTAGATCTGTTGGCAAAAGCTCAGGGAAACTCATAAAAGCTTGTCGTCTTCATCAGGGTCTTGACCCGACTGCAGTTCATTGTCTTGATTGCCTTTAGTGGGGAAATCCTCGCATTTGATAGAGTTTGGCGCTCTGGGGAGGTTTTTCACAGAAGAAACCTGGTTTTCACTGAACAGGGCAGTTAGTTGTACAGTTAAAGGAATAGTACACCCAAAACATGATTAGCCTTCATTTTCTACTCACCCCCATGCTGAACAACACTCTGGAGTACTTTTTTGATATCTCAAATGCATCTGGAGATCTGGGAGGCTTCTTGCTGTCTGCTGACATTCAAATAATGGAGGTCTATGGTGCCCGAGGCAGAAAGGTCCATAAAAGTCCACAAAAAACGTGTCAATATTCCTCCATACTGCTCGTCCAATGTATTCCAAGTGTCCTGAGTGGGTAGCGTCCATAATTTACTCGAAACAAAGTCATTTAGAATGTTTTTAGAGCATAAACAGTAGTGTATAGGATTTCCTAAAAGCGCGTTCACGAGTCTACGGAAACCGCGGCAGACCAAACCAGATGAAAGTGCGCATTCAGCGTCTGCTCTGCCGATAATGCAAGCGTAGAAGAAGAAATGTGCTGTTTACCTGTGCAAAGAAAGAAACAACGAAAGAAAAATGTCTGAGGACTTCAGTGTTGAGGAAGAGCATGAGTTCTTTGCCGAGCTGAATGCGCACTTTCGTCTGGTTTGGTCTGCCGCGGTTTCCGTAGACTTGTGAACGCGCTTTTAGGAAATCCTATACACTACTGTTTATGCTCTAAAAACATTCTAAATGACTTCGTTTTGAGTAAATTCTGGACGCTACCCACTCAGGACACTTGGATTACATTGGACGAGCAGTATGGAGGAATATTGAAACGTTTTTTGTGGACTTTTATGGACCTTTCTGCCTCAGGCGCCATAGACCTCCATTATTTGAATGTCAGCAGACAGCAAGAAGCCTCCCAGATCTCCAGATGCATTTGAGATATCAAAAAAGTACTCCAGAGTGTTGTTCAGCATGGGGGTGAGTAGAAAATGAAGGCTAATCATGTTTTGGGTGTACTATTCCTTTAAGGATTGTAGGAAACGAGGAGCTGCAGAAATGTACAGCCCTAGGAGGAGACTCTTTTAGCAGAGCTCCTAATACCATCGCAATCCACAAATCAGGCCTTTATGGATAGCGTGAAATAAAGGAAGATGCCAATATAAGAGGTCTTTGCAGTTTTTCAGACGATGCAGAAGAAAGTGCTCTTGTCAAATGTGACTAAAGTTAAACATTTTTTCCTAGATCTCAGATACTACAGGTAAACTCAAAATATGCATTAACATGAAAACATCAGCTCTGTGAAGCATTGAGGTGGAAGCATCTTACTGAAGGGATATATTTCAATATTTGCTGGTGTGAAATGATAGGAATATGGAGCTTAATAAAAGGCAGCAGTATCCTAAAAGGTTGTGTTACTGTAAAAGTATTTCAAAGCCAAATTATTGTTTTTCTAAGTTGAAAGAAAGCCTACAGAATGTATCCTCTTTCACTGCTCTGAGAAGCTGCAAAGAAAACTGCACTACACCTTCTGTCCAGTGGGTGGTGGTAATAAATCACGCGCTACACAAAGAAAGCCCTACCAATATGCTGAAGATGCTTTACATCCATTATTCATTTACAACTCCTACCTAAAGACTTGTGGGTCTTTTTTTTTTCAGATAACTAAAACACAAACTTTGATTTAATTAATTAGAATATCCAAAAACAAATAGAAGATAATCAGTCATCAAGTAGAGATAATTGATAGTTGACTGTCTAATCATAACTGAATTTTTATACATTGTAAAAGAAAAAAATTAGACGGTTGAGTAAATGATGCAGGACATGAGAGTGAAGATGAGTTCTTAGGAAAAACTGCAACCTGCTTTTTATTGTTTACGTTTCAGAATGCCACAGTCAAATCCAGCTTCGATTTAGACATTAATCAGGGAAAAGAGTTAAAAATTACAGCTAACTGAAGCTCTCTGTTTCTTATAAATTAGCTTAAACTATTTTGTTAAGAGAATCTAGATATGCAAAGCTTGTAAGAACAAACTGCATCCAGAGGCACTAAATACATTTGATGGAGGTATTTTTTTTTTTTGTGTGTATAAAACAAAAGTGTCAATATTTAACAAATGTGCTCTAGTTGATTTTTTTCAAGATATGGCAATAATAAAACAGAAAAAGAGAAGGAGGAATAAATGTAAAGGCTGTATTTAATAGTTACAGGGTATCTCCAAAAGCAGGTTGCAGGTTTCACAGTGATTTGGTTTCTTCATTTCTATCTGACTTTATTACCTTGGTGCCTGTAATGAAGATAATCAATAATAAATGTACCTCTCGACTGTAAACATAAGCTTGATACGCCTCCATTCGGCCTCTCATTCAGAAACCAAAATGTAGACGCAAGTTTCAACTTCCTTTTTTTTACCAAAAAAGCCCTTTTTCCTCTAATGTCAGCATTTGCATCAGAGGTGCCTTAAATGAAGCTGTTAAGTGAAAGTGGATTATATCTGTACACACTGACCTTTGGGTCCAGATAAAGGCCCATCAGCAGCCTCCCGCCCGGCAAGCTGTGTGTTTTTAATCTCCTATTGTTTTCTCCCAGAGAGGGGGACATTTGCTGATAGACTGCCTTAACCCACTGCAGATCAATACTGCAGGAAGCCTTTGTGATGCATATCCAAGCAGCCCCTCCTTTCCACGTCTGCAGCGGTAGGCCAGAGGGGCAAACAAAAAAATAAAAGAAAGACACCCATCAAATCAGTCCTCACTTCCTGGCAGCGGTTGTGTTCACATTTATTTCATTGGTTGTGTTTTTATAGGCATTTCTGATAACAGTGAAGCATAAAGCAGAGCAGTGGGGGAAATCTGTGGCGGACGATCCCCGCTCACCAGAGCATTGACGCTCTTTATGAGCTGTGAAATGAATCAGCGTTACCTAACCTCACAGCCTGACTCCAGTGGCATTTTTTTAACACATTCTATTAATTTAACAGCTGAAGGTTCTCCGAGTATTGATAGATGCTGAAATGTAGTGATATTAAAAGTTCCTCTGCAGGTCCAGTCGTGTTTTGTTTTTGCAGCAATTTCTCTGTATCAATGCCATATGACTGGAATTGAAAAACAGAAGCTGTAAAACAACATTTTTTTAACGAATGATTGTAATGATGCAAAAAAAAAAGTTCAGCACTGGAGGCTGCAATTCTACTTTAATAGAACATTTACAGTTTCATCTTAAATTTGAACTAAAACAAGCAGAAATAAAAACAAATAAAGCAAGTTAAGGGAAAACAGATATGTTTTTTTTTTGTCCCCTGCACTTTAAATCCTTTACTCAGGACTCCAGGGAATATTTTTTGTAAACACCCACCACCCAGAAAAATTTATTCTAGAATTAAATTCAGGGACACACGTCCAGCGGCCACTGTTGACAGATCAATCAGCTGGTTAAACATCAGGAGGGACTCCTGCCGGACACCTCTGCAGACCAATCACGGCCCAATTGAGTCGATTACGTTGGGCTAGGGGTCCATCTTTGTATGTTTAAGGCAAGACCCACTGACAGGCTGATGGACAGACAGCCGGAATCCATCCCAGGGCTCCTTATAGATTAAAGCCAGCTTCTGTGAACCTATTGCAGCGATGAGATGATTGCGCCTGCAGGGCCTATAGGGCCCAAGGGGAGGCTTGACTGTACAGCGAGAGGGGGAAGGAACGAGGAGCCGAGTGGACACGCAGCCCAAAGACTGTGACCCTTCTGACCTTGCCAGAAGGCCAGCAAATGTTTCCGAGCTGATTAGCGCTTCCCCAGGAGAGTACCCTGCCTGCAGTTTACCCTTCCAAATAAGATAGTGGGCAGACGAATTGGAGGAAATATAGAAACGATATTCTGATTAGAACTAGAAAATAATGTTTAATTAATAGGATGAAGCAAAAAACTTAACTTTCTTGTTTCTTTTATTTTACTTAAAAGGCTTTGCAAAGTAGTTTACGGTAACAAAAGTACAAGTCTACTAAGAGAATTTTCTGATTATGTTTTGAATGTTCTTTTTTGGTCACAAATGTCTTCTTTGGTGGATTTTAGAGGGTTTCTGTTAAAGAATTGTACTCCACAACCGTGCATTTAGAACTAGATACTTTAATTAGGCGATTTTAATTTATTGCTGATTTTAGATAATTAACAATTTTATCGAATTCAAATTATCCTAATATACTAGCACCAAATCAAAACATCTTTAGATGAAGGATTGTTCAAAAAGGGTTCTTTCCAAATTAAAGAACATTATAGAGAACAATAGGCATCTTCCTTTATAGACTGTTAAACAACAACAGTGTCTTCATTCAGAGGTTTATCCAGATCTGGTGCAAAACAGACGGCGACAGAAGATC